GGATGGATGGATGGATGGATGGATGGATGGATGGATGGATGGATGGATGGATGGATGGATGGATGGATGGATGGATGGATGGATGGATGGATGGATGGATGGATGGATGGATGGATGGATGGATTGATTCAGCATCCTTTCTTCCTGAGGGTGAATGGAGCTCAGCAGATCAGAAGCAGCTCTACAGTCACTAAGTGACCTCACTGAAACTGTCAGTTTTGTGTGTTTGTGTCCATATGTGTGTGTCTCACCCTGTTGTCCTCCTGGACGTCCCACTCAGGGCTGAAGGATCTGAACGGCTGGCTCTCCAGGGTGCAGTTGGAGAACTGGAAAAGGCTGGAGAACATGCGCCTGTTCTCTGCCGAGTCCGGGAAGATGGCGTCTTGGAAGTTGACGCCGTGAGGAAGGATGCTGTAGTTCTCATCCATCCTGAGGAAGACACGATTAGAGTTAAGATACACAAAACAAGCAATGTGGTCTGGGCTTTGAATGCACCACCATAACACATTTAACTGTTTGTCAACCACTGAGCGTTGCTTTAGCAGTGATGAACTTCTGTCCCAGTGTCAAACCGCTGGAAGACTCAGACTGGTTTCCCTTGATCATTTATGTCCCATCGTTTACCAGTTCCTGCCGATAAAAAACATCCCCACAGCATGACACTGCCACCACCATGCTTCACTGTAGAGATGGTGTTCTCAATGTGATTAGAGATTTAGATTTAGTTTTTGAAACTTTATTTTTACGTGAACTGTGCGGTTTCAGAAGGTAAATGTTGGGGAGAAAATGGAGAGAAAACTATGGGGGTGTGCATGCTTTAACCATCTGTGCACCAACATCTACCTGAGGAAAAAGAAGTAGGAGTAGTTCTCCATCACAGTGTGGGACTGACAGGACAGGTACCCCAGCCCGGTCAGGTTGAGCCTGGATCCAGAAGGCACCTCCAGCATGCTGCCCCAGGCCTGGTCGCACAGCAGCTCCACCTCCGCCGAGTACAGCAGCCCTTCCTCCGCGCTCTCGTAGCCGAAGCCCATGGGCAACGAGTTGTGCAGGCTGAAGGTCCGAAAGCCCAGCGGCTCCCGGTGGATCGCCAGGACCCGCGCGTACACGATGATCTCCGCCAGCTCCGCCCGGCAGCCCTCGCTCAGCGGCCGCCACTCAGAGGGCAGCTGGCAGCCGTGCGTAAAAGTGTCCAAGGTGTCCAAGCGCGCAAAAACGCACAGTGTGGCAAAGAGGAAAGTTGTGAGGAGCATCCCGAAATCCAAAACCTCACTTAGTGTTTTTAACTTAATCCTTGTAAAGCCACATAAAGACAACTAAACAAATGCACAGAAACTCCAGTGACTCCAACCTGCTGCTGGTTTATTTCACCCTCCAGTTGGAATAAAACGCTGCAACAGTCTGTGCTGCCTTCACTGACCGATGCGCCGTTTAGTTACTTTGGGACTCCAGTGAGCTGGCAAGACAGGAAACTACAAGAAACTCCTCCTTAATTATTCTCCAAACGCTGGAGTCAAGATAATTTCTCCAGCGAAAGAATTTTATAAAATAACAGAAAACATGAAAACAGACAATTCTCTGTTAAATAACCTATATGAATTTATACTTTAAGAATATTTGTAATAGTGTGCGTTTCTACGTGTTTTTCCTCCAAACTAAATTAAAGACTGAACTGACTAACTTGGAAAACACTGCCATCAAGTGGACATTAATGTGAACAGTTTATTATTTAATAAGATTGAAAAGAGCCAAATAGCTTCTGTAGACGTAAATGAAACCAAGTTTAACCCCAGAATAGTAAATTTGGGGCGCGTTAAATATGTTAAACATTCAATAATAAACGAATCTCATGGTGAATTTGTTATTCCAAACTATGAGTCCTAATTTAACTAACTTCCCTTCCCATTTTGTTTTTGGTAATAACAATGACTCCTGAAGGGAATTCCCGCGGTCAGCTGATTTCTGGGCCCCGCCTCTTTCGCGTGTGAGTTTCGCTGACTTGTAAGTCATACGGATGGACTTCATCCTACGGGCTGAACTGACGGATAGGTGGGCGGTCGCTTTCGTTTCACCTAAGATCTGTTTTTAAATCCGTGACGTCACTTTAAGGAAACGGAAACCTGTGTGAAATGCTCACGTCGAGTTTACAGACCGGAACGGATGTGTAATTGTTTTCAAAATAAAGAAACGTTTTATTTATTTACTTACTTTTTACGTTTTAATTTTAAAAGAAAAATGTTTTCAGTATAAAACATAAGGATGTAAAAAAACAAAAAAAACATATTTATGTGTACTACAAACATAGCAAGGTTTAAATATGAAAACCTCCGATTTTTACTAGGATAAAGGCAGCGGCAGAACTTGCAGTAAGGACTGGTAGTCTTTATAAGGACCAAATACATTAAACATATTTGACAGTAAAAATAAAATAAAATGTAATTAAGAATGCAACTTTTAAAAATCATTCGAATTAATTACAAAAAATCCTGAAATGGTTACTGAAGGCAAAACACAGTCTGGGGCTTTTATGTTGAAATTACAAACCGGAAAAGCAACTCTTCCTCGTGGCTGTAGCTTGATGCTAACTCGAACTGAACGAAGGAGCCAAAAGGAGGTTCGTCGGGTGTGTTTGTCTTTCTCCCAGTCTTTGTGTTTTATCCAAGTGACCAGACAGACCTTGTTTAGTCTTCGGACCTGACAGCAGGTGAGTTGAGACTTTAACCTTTATTTTTTAAGAGTTTGATGTGACGCAGTTTGCCTGAGGTTCAACAACATCCGCCTTTAATCAGTGCGGTTAACTTTTTAGTGTTTTGACGAGGAGTTGGGCCGACCGGAGGAAAGTGAAAGTAAAACTGATAAAAAACAGAAATAGAAAGTAAACATTTATAAACCATTATGACATGTTTAAAGACGTGTTAGCTGTAGCATTTTCTTTTAGCTGGGCTTCATTTTAGTTCGCTTTTTCTTTCTTATCTGAATCGATTCAGGTTGTGTTGATGCGGAAGTGACCAGTTTTTATTCATTTGCCTTTTGTTTCGTTTCTTTTACCTTGAGATCAGCTGATGGGGTCATTCCTGTGAGCTGAGCCTTTGTGAGTGCCACATGTTTCACTTATAAACCACGAGCAGAAAGTACTTAAGAGTTGAAGTTCATTTAAAACCATGACATTAAAGAGATTATTAGAAGTTTAGGATGATTATAGACAATATGACATGTCAGAGAAGAAGAAAACAATATCTTGTTTTAAAGGTGAAGACATTTAAATTTGGACTTTTCCGCCCCCACGCGGCTATGTGTGGTACTGCACTTAGACGTTTATAAAAAGGCCCATCAGGATGATCCTCACAGCAGAAACTTGAATTTGTGAGTTTAATTACGTCATCATTTTTGAAGCATATTCACGCATTTTTCATCAAGAGGATTTTAAAAATGCACACGCACGTATAATTGTTTTTTGCCGCGACAGAAAAGGAGTAAGGCAAGGCTCCACGTCAAAGCGAAACGAGAACGGTTCGCTCAGATGAGTCACAGGAGCGTAAAGACCTGCCTGCTTGGAATCAGCTGTGTGGGGAAACTTCCCTGTGATGGACTGAAGCAGCTGAGACAGGAAGAAAAAACTATAATACAGCCATCTTGGAATGCCATGTCGACTGAGACTTATTGCCCAAAACTCAAAACTAGCCTGTGGATTTAAAAAAAAAAAACTTTTTTCCAAAATTGTAACAAACTCTGACCCCCAAAGTCAAATATCGTAACTTGTGTGTATCGTTACGCTCCTACACAACAAAACAAAACCCATTACAAGCAGCTCAGTCTGTTATCGGTTCAAGTTCAAGAATCTTTATTATCCCCAAGGGACAATTCGTTTCAGTCAGTAGACGCATAAAACATCTGTACTAGACAGTGAGACATTAAAAAAACAGAAATCATAATTTCTCGTTAAGAAGCCTGATCACTACAGGGATGAATGAGTTTTTCATTCTACATCTGGGCAGCAGATACCTGCGTCCACATGGAAGCAGCCTGAACTCACCATGGAGTGGTGATCAGGATCTGCCAGAATCTGCCTGACCTTGTTCACTGACCTCGTCTTGTGTAGGTCAGAGAAGGTCTGTAGGGCTATTCCAGCAGTTCTGCTGCACTTCCTGACAATCCCTGAGAGTTTGTTCCTGTTTTTGCACGTTAATCCAAACCAACAAATGAACGTTAAGAGACTCAATGAAACATTCTCATAAGCAGAATCAACATTAAAACTACAGCTTCTGATGCATTCTCTGGTGGGCCTTCTTACGAAGTGAGTTCACGTGGGGTCAAAGGTCAGTTTGTCATGAAGAACAGTTCCCAGTTCAGAGTCCAGTGGTTTGTAGGTTTGGGTGTGTTTTTGTACTTTTTTAATTTTGACTCTCGTGTTTATATAATGATCTATTTGAGGACATCTTTGTAAGCCCCGTCTTGTTGCGCTCAGCCTCATGGCGTCTGGCGGCCCCATGATGAACGGGGACATCTCTCGCTCCCGCAGTCAATCCGGCGCGCTGGAGGAAACCATTAAGCAGATGAACATCCTCATCCAGGAGAACCGAGACCTGAAAGGTGAGAGGAGTGTGTGGTTTCACCAGAGCATTAATCTCAAAACCTGTGAACGAGTCGTGACTCCTTTACTTGAATTAAACCAGAGGCCCTGCGCCAGACCAACCTGACCATGAAAGAGCGCTTCGAGGGTCTGACGGCGTGGCGGGAGAAGCAGCGGCAGGAGCGGGACTTCCTGGAGGGCCGTCTGGAGGAAGCTCGGAGCCGCATGGAGGCGCTCACCCTGGAAAACCAGGAGCTGAGCAAAAAGCTGGAGGCGGCCGGCGGAGACGCAACAGGATGTGAGGTGAGGCTGAGCTGACAACCGCTGGAGCTTCTGTCCAAATGTGTACGTGCTAACAAACGTGTCGTCCAATCAGAGCGCGGGGCTGGTGGTCCTGCGGGCTCAGATGGCCCGTCTGCAGGCTGAGAAGAACGACCTGGTGGCTCTGAACTCGGAGCTGCAGCTGAAGGCTGAGCAGGACTCGCACGACGACTCGTTCATCGAGGTCATCAAAGTGTCGGTGAGGACGTTGATTAACGCGCGGCTCGCTCCGGCTCGGAGGGAGATCTCGGGATGTAACAAACGTCTGTCCCGACCCAGGACGGAGGCGTGGAGGGCGTGAACGAGGCGTGCGGCGCAGAGCGCAGCAGACGTCCCGATCTCAGCACGATAGCGTCCCGGCTGGACAGCGAGGGCGTGACGGTCAGTCAGCTGCTGCACTGTCTGAGGAACGAGACGCAAAAGTGCGAGCAGCAGGAGGCGGAGCTGCAGGCCTGCGTTGCCAGGTAGAGGAACAGTCACAGCACAGCCGCCCTCTGAAGGTCAAGTTACCGTATTTTCCGCTGTTCACGTCGCACCGCCCTATAAGTCACATCTGTCTATATTTGTCTAATAAAGTAGAAAAATTCATAAATATGTTGCTTCAGCATGCAAATTATGCAAAATGCGACTTATAGGGCGAAAAATACGGTGAATGTTTTTATGAGTGTCAGTAAAACTACTTGAGGTTGCACATAAACAACAAATCAATTAATGGCATGAAAAATGATCAACCTCACTTTCATTTATCGGCTTTATCGTTTCTTCGTGTCTCTCTTTCTGAAGACACTGGATGATAAAAGGCTCAACTCGGGTGTTCTTCACTGACCCCTCCCTTTCTCTTTAAAAGCGCGTTTTCGGATCGTTAAAAGTTAAGCTACGAGCTAAGCTAACAGGCTGACCTCGGGGAAAAACCTCAGTCTTGTCCAAGCTCCAAAATTCACGTTGAAACCCGTGTCTTCGTGTAAAAAGTTGTTTTTCTCTGAAAAAAGAAGTTGAGAACTTGTTTACTGATTTTTTTTTAATTAAAAGCTTTGTGTGAAAAATGCTAAAGAGCTCAAACCACAATTGGCGTCCGCCATTTTGAGAACCAAAAAACAGGAAAGGGAGATGGCCCATGTCACGTCAAGGGGCCTCCCTCCTTAAAGAGACACACTGCTCGCTCCCTCACCATCCATCCTTTGGTTCAGTCTTATACTGCCATCCCGGGGTCAAAAAAGGTACTACACACACAATTAACCAACATTTCCTTTTAAATTGACAATAATTATTTTCAAATTTATCGCAATAATTTCTGAGACAATTAATCGCCCGGCAAAATTTGTTATCGTGACAGGCCCAGTTGCACATAAAGGTAATTTTTAAGGTTTGCCCAAAACACCTGCACCACGAGCGATAGGCAGTCCTTCCAGGAGGTCTACACCTTGAATCCTGAACTTTTGTCGTGTCATTCAACAGAATCAAAAAGCTGGAGCAAAGCAAGGGTGGAGAGGAGGAGTCGACTCAAACGGAGACCGAGGAGGGCTCTGAGAAGGTGGAGATGAATATTTGAACCGATTCAGTCGATGTGTCCTTCGTTTCGTTTTCGTCTGTAACGCTTGTGTGGCACCGGCTTCAGGCGGCGTCTGAGGTGGAGAATCTGAAGTCTCAGGTGATGACGCTCTTCAAGGAGCTGCAGCAGGCCCAGAGCAAGCTGGATGAAGCTGAAGGCATGAAGAAGAACCTGCAGGACAGGTTAGACCTGCCACCTCAGCTCATATGCATGAAGCAGCATCAGGATGGTGCACACTTGCAGCACAACATCTGGGTTTTTCTGTGCGTTTTGTTTTTTTTGGGGGGGGCAGATGTCGGGAGGTGGAGCAGGATGTAGTGACCTTGAAGGCTCAGCTGGTGGACAAGCAGGCCGTGCAGTCGGAGAACGACCGGCTGAAGCTGCAGCTGGGCAGCGTGCAGGCCCAAACGCAGATAGAGCAGAGGAAGGCTGACGAGGACAGGTCAGAGGTCACGCGCGTCCAAACTGCCACCGACCATCTCGACTACGTCTGCACGCGAGAAACACGAGAGGAGAAACTCTAACCTTCCTTTCTGACAGGAACAACCTGGCTCAGCTGAAGGATGCGTACACCAAGCTGTTCGAGGACTACAACGAGCTGCAGGAGGAGCAGGGGAGGAGAGAGGTGGGTTCAGATCGGGGCTCGGTTCTGCTGAACGAGGGGTAAAAAGACCGGATTAGGAGTGTGAGTTCTCCTGTGTGCTTCTGCAGTCCCAGCTGGTGGAGAGGGAGCTGGTGGCTGATATGCAGGAGCGTCTGACTGCTGCCGAGGAGGCGCTGGCCGTCAAACAGAGCAGGATCGACGAGATGAAGCAGGAGATGTACCAGAAGGAGAAGGAGCTGGAGACCATCTCTGTCTTCCAGGCTCAGGTGAGCAGAGTGACCGAAGGGCTCGCGCTGAAAATCCACTTGGTCTTCTTTTAACTTCTTTTGTACTCCGGCAGGCGGAGGTCTACTCCTCGGACTTCTACGCGGAGCGAGCGGCACGAGAGAAGATCCACGAGGAGAAGGAGCGCCTGTCGGTTCAGCTGGAGTTCATCAAGAAGCAGAACAGTCAGCTGCAGGAGGAGATGGACTCTCTGGGCCGGTATGAAACCTCACCAAAGAAGAGCTCACGGTTCAGTTGAGCTGCATCGACTGAGAGAAATGATTCATGTTTGTCCCTGAGGAGAGTTCATCAGCTGCAGAACCGAGTGCTGCTAAAACCTGAATCACTCCGGCTGAGCTGACCGTGTTTTCATCTCTATCTTTAAGGCGTTCACTTAATGAAATGCAGCGGAGACACGGGTCGACTGCAGGAAGTCCACATGGACCTGGAGCGTCTCTGGTTGGAAGAGGTACACTATCGATGAACGAATGAATTTAAAAAACTGCATTGTAAGGGTTTGTGTTGCTCTTAGCGAGGAACACCTTGAAGGGACAGCACAGCCAGCTTGAAGTGGGGTTCTGTGGAAAACTTGTGAACAATTAATATCTTACCTGTCGGAGATGGCGCTTTGAACAGCCTCAGTGTGGAGAAATGACGTTTAAATTTGACCAGAATGAAGAGATAAACGCTGCCGTCTTAAAATGACTCCTATCTAAAAAAAAAAAAAAAAAACCGTTTAGCGATGGATGCAAATCAGGGCTATTCAGCTGGAGGCCCGGGGGCCAAATCAGGCCCACGGATGAACTCAGTTTGGGCCACCAATGGGACCATTTTAAATAAAACTAGATTTTAAACCATAAAACAAGCGTAATGAGAATAACCACTGGATGTGCGGCTCCTGAGCTCTTGGCTTCCAGTACCTGTGGCCTCCTGAGCAGTTTAGTGAAATAGCCCTGTTTTGTGTTTTTGCGTTGCAGCGACACGTTTACTTTTAAAAGGAAAACAGAGAATGCATTGGGCGAGCAAGGCAGGGAGGGAGCCTGTGTTTATATAGGTGGTGTCTCACTGGGCTGCAAATGTTGGAGGCCATAATTGTCAGGCTTTAGAACACACCTGTCTCTAAGCCGCACTTAATTAATATAAAATAAACCATAATTTTGTACATATATAAGACGCTATGGTTATTAAGCCGCAGGCATCCACTGTTCAGAACTTGTGCCCAGGCTGTGTGCAGCTTTCTTGTAGTTCAAGAATCAGCCAGCAGGTGGTGTTCACAGAATGTAGCTTGCTTTCAACACACACCCAGACTGCAAGATCTTCATGAAGCTTGGCACTCAGACTCATGGTTACAACCATTATCCCTTCAAAATGAACACAATAACTATCTAAGCATAATCACTGGACAGAACAGTGCCAAACACCTACGTAAATGAAATTACTTTAAAATTATATACCGATAAAACCCAGTCTTATCAAGGTCATGTGACCGGAAGTCAAATAGTATCTGTAGAATGTGGTAAGTATTCATTAAATTAGTACCATTGATTTTTATTGGTAAACACTTTTGTTTTTAAATGTACTTTCTAAATAAATTTGACGTGATTTCTCCTCAAAACTTGTGACTTCTGGTCACATGATGATGGAGTGGGTGGAGTTATAGTTGGGTATTTGAAACCGTGAGCAAAAGGCCTTGTACCTGAGGGCATTCACTCTGTGTCGCTAACACCTGCCACATGAGGGGGGGGTGCTGTGAGCCACAAGCGCCCAGCTCTGCCAAAAGAAAATGTTAGTCAGTAGCAGGAAGTTACTGAGAGATGGCAGGAAGTCCTTCAAAATAAAACAAAAATTTTGAAAATTATGAATAAATAAGACGCTCCTGCATATCAACTGCGGGGTACAAAGTGTGAGACAAAAGCAGCGGCTTGTATGACGGCAGTTGACGACTCAAAACTTTCAGAAAATAAGCGCATTTTTAAACGCAGCCTCCCCCAAATTCTGAGTTTTTAACCAGCGTGTTTCGGGCTGCCACTTTTTGAAGAGCATTACTTGCAGAACGTTATTTTAGCTCATGCACATTGTTTTGTTGCCCATCTACGCTCCCATCCGACCTGCCTCGGCTCGCTTTGTACCCATCCTGGTGGCAGGAGCTCGGTCCGTGTCACTACCAGAAACACAGGGGGGTCACGTTACCAAGGGGTTATCTCTAAATGTGAAAAATATAAAATCAAGGTGGACTCTGAAACTGAGTTATTAAAGAGTGGTGGATATTTGTTTGTCCTCATCACAGCTGTAGTCTGAGATCGATGTACAAACCCAGTTGTGAAAAAGTTGGGACGCTGTGTAAAATGTAAATAAAAACAAAAAGCAGCAGGTTACACCTCATCAACACACAGGAAACATATCAACTGCTGAAACCAAGAATCTACCTATAATCTAATCTAATCTATAAATACACACAGCACTTGTGATTGTCTGGGCAGCAGGGACCACGTTTCTGTCTGTGAAACATCCCCTCTTCTTTTAACAACAGTCTGTAAACACGCAGGACCGGATGAGACCAGCTGCTGGAGGTTTTGTAGGGAAAGTGTCCCACTCTTATCTGATGGAGTATTCCAGCTGTTGAACAGTTCTAGGTCCTCTGTGATGGATGTTTTCATGAGTGGGAGCATATGTTCTTATAAAACCTTACATACTTTTCTACACTGATGGGTTTTTTCCAGATGGGTAAGCTGCCCAAGCCATAAGCAGTAATACACCCCCATACCATAAGAGAGGCATACCATTGAAATAACTGAAAACTTATATTTCACACTTTTACTTGAAAACAAAACCAGTTAATTTGTTAAGGCATGGAAGGGGATCACATTTACATGTAAATTACATTTATTTTGAAATGCATTGTATAAAAAAACTTTACTCATAAAGATTTTTGTAGCAAACAAAAGTACAGTAGCCCCTCATCTATCGCGAGGGTTACTTCCAGACCCCCCACCCCATCAACTAAAGCTAAAGTTTATTTTATTTATTTATTAACCTTTATTTAATCAGGCAAATCCCGCTGAGATCACAGATCTCTTGCAAGGGAGGCCTGGACCTGAAGGCAGACTAACTTGCAGGTTTTTGTTCTGTGGGAGGAAACCGGAGTACCCGGAGAAAACTCACGCATGCACGAGAAGAACATGCAAACTCCACACAGAAAGACCCCCAGGTTCTCAACGTAATATTTTAAGTTGAGTGAGTAGTACAGTAGTCTCTCGCTACTTCATAGTTCGTTTATCGCGGACTCGCTCTATTGCGGTTTTTCAAAATAAGAGTGGACATGACACACAAGTGGCTGATTGATGGATGAGCAACACGATCGGCATGAAATTTTTATTTAAAATAAATTACTTAAAATTATTTAGCACCTGATGCACATTAATGCAGCCCTTACTGCTGCGGTTAAACAGCTGATCAGATGTTCATGTGCAGA